TGGGTGGATAGGTGGATAGGTGGATAGGTGGATGGATAGGTGGATAGATGGATGGATAGGTAGATGGATGGATGAATGGGTGGGTGGATGGATGGATGGATGGATGGATGGATGGATGGACAGATGGATGAGTGGGTGAGTGGGTGGGTGGGTAGATGGATGGATGGACAGATGGATGGGCAAGTAGATCAGTGGAAACATGATTCTATTCAAAGAATATGATTCTATTTACAGAAGGACCGGGGCCCACAAAGGTGATGTCCCCGGTTGCAAAGCTTTCAAAAGAAGAGATATAGGTCACAAGAGGATATAAGTCCCAAACAGGTCAGGAGGGGGTGTGGGCAGCTCCACACGAACCAAGCTGGGCCAGCACTGTCTAGGCCAGAGCCCAGAGGGCTGCCGGTCTCGGCCTCAGGTCCTGAGTGACGTGTGGCCACACGGTGGTGGACCACAGCGAGGTGGTGGACCAAGTGCTTATTCAGGGCGGAACAGAAGAAGCTGGCCCAGGACTAACTGCTCCGCCCACCATGGCCCAGCTCAGATCAGAGCCACAGGAAAGGTCCCATGCGCGTGGCTGGATAGAGACGTGGACACTGCACACACGGGCAGGGCCCCGGGGGTCCCGGCCGCAGTTGGGTCCGGCGTACTCACCGGCAGCGTGGAGGGCCGCTTGTGGGAGCCGTGCTGGAAACTGCCCAGGAAAAGGCTGATCCCGTCTCAACCCTCCTGGTGCCCTGGGCCCCTTTGGTGGTGAAACCCCTGGGCCTTGTCTCAAAATAATGTTTTTGAGAACACAAGCGCAGTCATAGAATCACAAAGGAAGCCCCTTATGCCCAAATAAATTTGCCTAAATGTAAAAAAAGCCCCGAGGTGGTAATGCCTACGCTCCTTTCTTCCACCAAGAGACCGAAGCAGTGTGCCAACTGCATTCCGAAGAGTGACAGAGGACATCAGGCTGGGCCCAACGGTGCCTGCGCTCCACCGCTGTGGCTGCAGAACCGGCAGGGGCAGGTGCTCCTGCTGGCGCCGAAGTCCCTGGCACGTGTCCCAGGCCTGCGTTCCGGCTACACAAAATGCCACGTTTTGGTTAGAGGTTAGCGGACTGACCGCTCTGGACCCCCCCGAATTCTAAGTAAAGAACGCCTGTTTTGGCTTGTCTTGAAGACCCCCGCCGCCCCCCGCCCCCACCGGCACGGCCGGACACTTCCGGCCTTGGGGAACCTGCCACAGGGGGGCTCCCGGAGTCAGAGGCCTCGAGGGTCACCCCCCCATCAGCTGTCTTTGCTGGGTGCTCTTGGGCCTCGGCTTCTGCGGCTATGTCCCCCACGCAGGGCGCCGTGAGGATTCAGTGGAACGATTCACGTACAGGTTCTGCTCCGTCAGGGCTGGTGGTGGTCTCAGTGAGACCCCCGAGCTGGGAAGGGCCCGCTCAGGGGAAGGCTTGAGTGCCCCACACCACAGCAGAAAGACCTGCCCAAACCATACTGGTTACCCCACTCCTCCTCTGAGACCTTCAGCGGCTGCCCTGGGCCTCGAGACACAGGCCAGACTTCAGAGGTGACCTAGGAGACCCCCATGCTCTGCCCCCTCTCCCCTCGGTGTGCGTCTCTCTCGTGGAACTGTTCCTCTCCCCGAGGTGCCTCTATCACCCCCAGCGTTCCCAACTCCTCCCACAGAACCTAGCCTCACCCAAACTCCTACGGATTCCTCAGAGCCCTCAGGAAGTGCCCCTGTCGTGCTGCCCCAGGCCCTGAATGCCCTGTCACGGCATTAGCACGTTGCCTTGTGGTTGCTGTGGGCCAGGCTTCCTGCGCCACTGGGAAAGCCCCAGGCGGGACCCACTCTCCTGGGCCACGGCTGTGTCCCTGGCGAGCGGCGCCGGGCTCCAGCCGAGTCTGACGGATGGCTGGGTGAATGACCACGCCCCTGTCTGAGCGCCTGCCCCCCGCCCTTATCTGTAACCGCCCCGGTGCGAGCTGCACCTTCTCCCCGTTCTACACGCAGCTGCGAGGGAGACAGACGGGACGGCCCGCTGTCCTTAACCCTCACTGACTCCCAGCTCTCCGGCTGGGATCCCTGGGCCCAGGACCCCGGGTCGGATGCCTCCGAACGCCATGTGCCGAGGCGGGGAGTCCGGCCCGGCTGCTCGGGGCGGGTCCCCGGAGCCCGGGGCCGTGGCGCAGAGTGTCCCCGACGGCGGGAGGGGCCCGGCTCGGTGGCCTGTGGGTGTGGAGCAGGGAGAGCCGGTCAGCTCGCTGCCTGAACTCGGCGAGCCTCCTCCCACCCGCTCAGAGAGCAGGATGGGGACTTGGGGCCGAGCCTCGGTGAGGGCAGAGCGTGAGGAAGGACACGATGCCAATGTGACAGAGTGGCAGCCTAGTCCCCTCTGACCAGACCGGAACCAGTCACACCCCTGCCACGAGGCTTGGAGAGGTTGAGCTGCTGGCCGGGGGGGTAAGACCCGGGCTGGATCCAGGTGAGGCCCAGAGGGCGACCCGAGGGACAGGGTGGAGGGTCCTGCTGTGAGGAGGACCCCAGCCCCACCCCCAGCCTGGGCCTCTCTGCCCCTCCAGGAGCATTGAGCCCAGCCAAGGCTGCCCGTTGGGCAGAATAGCAAACGGAGCCTCAGCGGGGGAAGCCGACCACAGACAGGGGAGTGTCACCCCCCGTGACTGACTCTCCTAGGAGGCAGGTCCCTGCCCGCAGAGCGGCCTCCTCTGGGTCCCGGGGAGCTGCCCACCCTGTTCCCTTGAGCGGCCATGCTGCAAACGGGGAAAGCCCCTCCCCGAGGCCACTTTCCCTTAGAGGAGCCCCAGGTGGAGGGTGGGGTGAGTCACCCTGCTGGGCCCCTGTCCTGGGTCCTGTTTCCCTCTGACTCTCGGGGCTCTGCTGCCGTGCCTGCACCCCCACACCCACCCGCTTTCAGCAACGGGCTCTGACTGAGCTCACGAGGCCATGAGGCCGGGGCTCGGCTGGCCTGGGCACAGTGCGTTTGGTCCAGAAAGAACAAGAAGAAGAAAAGAGGCAAAAGGGGAGGTCGTTTTTCCCGTTTGCCCGTTTTTTCTCCTTGGGACTGGCAACAGCTTACAAGGGTAGAAGATGGGCTCTGGTGCACCAACTAACCTTCTAGAATCTTCCGGAACATTCTACCAGAGCCTGGGAACTTTGTAGACCCGGCCAAAGAAGGGCACCAACATGGGGAGAATAACCCGGGAAGTGGTTCGTGCTGGGTGAGGTCAAGTGGCGGCCAGGCCCTCCGAGCCGAGGGACATTCCACTTGCCTTTGTAGGGATGGCCCCTGAGACTGGGGTAAGGCTTCCCAGGAGACCCTGAGTGAAGGGTCCCCACCAGTGGGCTGTTCCAGGCAGCCGTGGGGGCCCCCACCGGGCCTGGCCAGAGGGAATGAGGCTGTTCGGGGGCCCAGAAAGATCAGGGAGTGTCCTGAGGATGAGAAACACTGAGGCCTGACCTTCCCCGAAGGACCGTGTTGCAGACGCTGGTTGTTAGGGGCTGTGTGATCCCCACCACGTCTGCGGGCATCACTGATGTTCTCCCACGTGGAAA